ACAGGAGGGTTGTCTTTATTATATTCACACTCATTAATATTATTTATGACTTTTATCTTTTCTCCTAGCTTTTTCTCTCTATTATTAATTGTGTCTACATTACGGCATTCTTTTAAGTGCAAGTACATTTTATTTATATCATAGAGAACAAAGTACCAGCTGGTTGCATTACATTAACAGTGATGAGGAAAGCCTATCCTCAAAAACAAATCACAGGAAGACATTCATGTTCTTAATGACAACAGGATACTTTACGAGCACATGGATACACAGCTGTCAATGTGAGGGGATCATCCAAGAAGGCACATTCCAGTTTGAGCTTTTTGATCCTCACACTGCTTTCAGAAAACATTTTAAAGCCCAGTGTTTCCCCTATATACAAATAGTGGCAGCGCAGCGCCACTGCTGAAATATGCGCGCCGCTGCTAGGGGGCGCCAGCCAGGTACCCAAAAAATAAATAATAATAAGTGGCGACCCTTTTTCATTTTTGATTGTTTGTTATGTGGATTTGTAGTATTTGTGTTACTGTATGTTCAATAAAGGTGTATTTTTGCTAAATCTTGAGACATTGCCATGCACTGTATGTACTAGGCAGGGCCGATTTTTGGCATTAACAGGTGGTCGCTAGGGCGCCAGATCTGGGGGGCGCTGCACTGGTAGCTCTGGGAGGGAAAAAACATTTTTGACCATTGGCGCTCATCCAAATTTTCGGCCTTGATGTAACAACATTCATAATTAAGTAAATGTAACACCCTTTTCACCCCGGTTACACTTTTCATTTGCCCTGTACGATGGGCGCTGTAAGTGGGGGATGTTGGCTTATCCGGCGCCCGCAGCTCACAGCAAAAGTGCGAGCGAGAGAGAGGGCGCACCGGTACCGGCGCTGTTGTTATTAGAATCTGGTGCTAGCTGCGCTAACGGATATAAGAAGTAGATGTTTCTACAACCACTGTGGAGGAGAGCTCTCCTGTCAGACTGAGAGGCTCAGTGAGGTAAAGGGCTCTCTGAGTGTTTAGATAAGTTAATTTTAGTCTAAGTTATCTCAGTGGGTCTCAAACGTTTTGACCACAAATTATGTAAACACATATTTCCAAGGCACTCCTTTATAATTATTAGGATAAATAAAAACAGGTTTGAAATCATTCCAATGTATACTATAGGACAGTAATCCAAAAATGAAAGTGCACCAGATTGAAGCATTTTACTTTAAAATGTTCAAAACAAATCTTGCCGGGGGAGCATACCCCCGGACCCCCCTAGAGGATGTGACGTCCACCCCCCAATTCAAACATGTTCATACAATAATGAATACATTTGAAGCCATTTTGACGTATATTACCTATGTCAATAAGTTTCTGTTTTTGTAGTGTATTTGTCTTTTGTAGAGCTTTTTCATTTATTCTTTACATATAAAATCTCGCCTAGGGCAGCAAATTGTCTAGAACCGGCCCTGGTACTAGGCCTCAAGAGCCTTTCTTGTGCTAACACATAGAAACAAATTGGCGGGGCGCACTTCGCACGTGTACACACTAAAAAGTTCCACGCGCTCCGCGCTCACATTATGCTGGGCCCACGTGCCTTAGCACCGCTGCTATGACTCCATCCTAGGGGAAACACTGTAAAGCCCATCACTAAAACTGAGTCTCTGCCGTTGTAATAGCGTCAAATTGTGAAATAAAACTTTCCTGAATGTATTTTAGGAGCACAGCCAAAGCACAAACTTTCCTCTTAAAAGATAATCAATGTGTGGCGTGTGGCGCAGTGGCTTAGTGCGCTGATCTTCGAATCAGAGGATAGCAAGTTCGAGTCCCACTGCAGTCAGCATGTCGTTGTGTCCCTGAAACACTTCACCACAAATTGCTCCTGCCCACAGTATTGAGTATGTAAGTCGCTTTGGATAAAAGCGTCTAACAAGTCACGTAATAACTTGACATCATTTGAAATTAAAACACATTGAATGGCAGAGGGTGAAGACCATTAAACATACAGAGAACATTTCTTACAGCACACATAAAACCAGTGACTAATAAGAGATGCAGACGTTAAGCATAGTAACCAGAAAAAAGGTCCAGTGCATGAAGCAAACATTTCTATTTGTAGAAAAAAAAAGCAGGCTGACTTTTACGGAAAGTACCAGCTTCAAAAACTAAGGCACCAGCAAAGCAGGACAACAAATAAGCAGGGTCTCGTATTACGCAAGATAAAGTGTTTATAAAAAACAAAACATCAGTTTAAGTGACTACATGTAAGCCAGTATCTTAGCTTAATTTGACAAACTATTAAAAACATAAGAAATGCGTAATGTTTCTTCCAAAATAGCCTCCAGCATGTTCTGTATAACAGAAACATCCCTGTGGTGTGTGCTCATGGTCCCAAACAGTTACAATTAGAAAACAACATGACGAGAATTAAACGCTCACAAATGTAATGTATATTCTCCGAGAGACGTGCTCAGCTAAGACGTCACTGTTCTCGCTAAACAACACTTCAGTGTCTGTGAAAAATCAACAACAATCCTTTCATAACGCATCTGTAATGACACTCTATCAGTGTGACTGTAAAGAATTGCAGAAGCATGTAGGAGAGAATTTAGGGGGTTGTTTGGATGATTTCAAGTGGGGATTTTTGAGGTATTTACTCATAGCGAGTGAATGACTAAATACAGTTGATGGTTGTCAACTTGACCCTAGTTTGGAGAAGCAGATGGGATTACCAGCACAGGAGTAAAGCAATGAACTGATGGATTCCCGCTTCACATTGCAGTCAGAAAGCTCTTTCCAAAAGGGACCCGTTCTCTATGCTGTTTAAAACCACCAGACTCCATTGAAGAAAACTTGTATTTGATGTCAGAGAACACAGGACTTGCTGGTCTCCATGATCGGTTAGTACGGTGTGTGATATTGTGTGACTTTAGAGAATCGCCAACCAGTTAAAAAAAAAAACACAAAGAAACGAATCGATTGACTCAGAAAGTAAACCAGCAACTTATGTGTCCTGTGAGATTTAAAAAAAAGGTCTTTCTCGCAGGAGTTTGGTGGCTTTCAAGAGAGAAAAGATCCCAGCCTCAGTTGGAAAGGGCTGACAGAAATGTAAAGCGATAAAAATGGTCTATCGCTTTAACTGATCATTTGATATGGCTCCATTAGATTTTGCTGCTGCCCATGTCCAGTAGTACATTGTTTTTCTTGCGTGCCATAACTCTTGCCTGATTGTGGAAACTGGCAACTAATTAAGATAATTCACCGACTTTAGATAAACTCATACAACCCCACATGAAAAATCCAAACTTCCCCTTTAATTTCAGCCCACATTGACCCCCCTAACAGTTATGTGTTAATACTGGGAAACAAAAGCAAGTGTCCATTTTAACCAGGACAAAAAACTGGAATAAAAAAACATAACTTGTACATTATTGTGGCAAATATTGACATCATTGTTAATTATAAAATCATTGAATTGCAAACATCCACCTAGCCTACAATCCATGAGTGCTGTATTGTAGTTTATTCTGACCTGTGGTGAAAACGTTCATCTTTTTGATCAGTTTCAGACATTTTTATAATCAACCTCAGTAAAGCCCAGTAGGGCTGAACGATTAATCGATTTTAAATCGAAATTGCGATTTGAAATGATGCGATTATCAAATCGCAAAGCCTGCAATTTGTTTTAACTTTTTTACAAATAATTTTTTTGTTCTCCTTGTGTGTCAGTCATCCACACCAATCAGAAGTGCTGTGCTCCACATGTACCAGCCATGTTAATCAATCAGAATTGGCCCATGATAGAAGGTGATTGATCCAATCACCTGCCAAGTATTTTTGAAAGTGCCTGCCCTTTCTTTTTTTCTTCTACTAAAATCATACAAAAACAAAAACGTATAATTCATACACACAAATGAACAACATTTTCCAAATGGCTTCCAATGCAGCTTTCCTAGATGGTTTGGTGAACCATCTGAGTCAGGTTAGTAATGCTCCATCACATGTTTCTATCACAGGGTGAATCTTAAACTGAAGCTTGACTTTAAAGCAACCCAACGGAAGTTTCATGTAAGTTTAGTTCTTTAACTCGTAGCTCGGGCTGCGGAGGTGCTAGAGGTGGGAGCACGTTGATACGACCTTCCTAGCCGGAGTTATGGCCGCATTTTACAATAAACTTCCGTTGGGTCGCTTAAAAACAAATATCATAAAAGCAATCGCAATATTTGTCAAAAAAATTAGATTTTTTCCCCAAATCGTGCAGCCCTAAAGCCCAGTTGAAGAAGACATCCCAAGATGCACCTGGAAGCTATTGTTGAAAACCCCCAGGAAATAAGCTGTGTTTCTACAGCAGATTGGTTAACACCAGATGGTGGTAAACTGGTCTGTGGGTGGTGTTGTGCTAACAGGTCATCATCCCAGACTGATTGGGTTCAATTGTTCTCAAATCTAGCTGGCTGGTAAAATGTGAGAAAATGCAAAAATAAATAACCCCTAAAACCCTCATTAACAATGACATGTTGATATCTCTGCATGCTGAACAGGCAGGAGAAACCTGGAGGAGCTTCAACATGCTGCTCTGCTTCATATCGCTTTGTGTTACTGTTTACAGTTATTGATTCATAAGATAGAGCTGGTTTAGCAGAGGGAGGAATCAATCCGTGGATCAGCTGCTGTAGTATTCATAGCGGTTGAAAAATACTCTCGCAATGCACAGGATTAAATAAGTCAGAACATTGTGTGCACTACATAACCTGTAGCTAATATACCTCAACGAATATCAAGTTAAAGGGATAGTTCAGGTGTTTTGAAGTGGGGTTGTATAAAAGGTACTTCTAGCATAGTAGCAAAACATATTACAGCCACCTCGTAAAGAGCGGTTGCTGGTCTATAGCCTCGATTGGTTAGTTTGTTTATTATTGTGATGGTTAAGTTAGTCACACAATTATACAATCAAAGTTACCGTTTGAAGCAGAACTACTGTTTTCTAAGAGGTACAATGACAGGTTCAGGCGGCTTTGGAGAGAGCACAAATAATGGCTTTATTTCATAATGTTATAGCTGTCTCGCGGCAAGTTAAAGAAGCAAAAATATGTCATATGCTTAAACTGATAATTATTTTGTTAGGTGGCCACCGTCCATAGTATATTGCTTTACTTCCATGCCGGTACTCTTGTCTGCTTCTCAGAACTAGAAGCGTTGCAATCCGTCATTTACTGAAACTGAATATGTCACGTACCTCAACCAACCCCACTCCAAAACATCAAACTGTAAAGACATAACATCTTAGCAATGTGGTTTCTGGGTTTGCTCCTTATAGCAATTACAAACTGACCTAGACAACAGGGTGTCACATCCAGTCCAAGTGTAGTGTAAAGTAAATATATATAACTCAGTTTAACTCAGGAATCATGTAGTGTTGACACTGGGATGTAGTGAGGGAGAATGTGGAATAAGGTCCAAAGCAGTAAAGGGAACTTAAGTGGCCAGCATTAAGGAGCACTAGGCATTTCTGTACGAATCACTCTAGTGGAGCAGCAGAGATGCACAGGTTGTTTAAGGCACAAGCAACTTGCACAATCTTATCAAATGTTGAGAGGTTGGAGGTGCGCTCGGAGACCGTGGTGAAGGGGCTCTCCACGGGGCCGGTAAGCATGGCGTACCTCTGCTTCACCACGGAGAGCACCCTCTGCACATGCCTCTGCACACTCACTGTCTCAGAGGAAGTGTCAGGCAGAGGTGAGCTCGCTTCACCTTGGTAGCTGCCGGCTATTTTAAACAAAGCTCCTCTCGCAGCCACAGAATCTGCAATGTCCAGATCTCGACTCGCCAACACCACGTCTCCCGGGAGGAGCTTGCAGAGAAACCCACAGCCCTCAGCCAGGCTTTTGTCCCCAACGTTGCCCAGAACGCCCCGAGACACAAACGTTACAACGCCTTGTGGAGCAACACCAATCAGATACTTCAACACATTATAACTTGTCCCGGCCCCCTGAGAGCTCGCCACCACCCTCTGCTGCTGCTGGTGGTTGCCACGGGAAACCGGCTCCTCAAAAGGCACCATGAAGCAGTCGATGATGACAGCGCAGTCGGGGTGGGACGAGCGCAGAGCGACAGGCAGGTTCTTACGAAGTTCGGCTCTGGAGGGCCAGAAGACGGCGGTCGGCACCAGAGTGGAGGACATGATGTTGACCATCTGGTGCACCGTCCTGGTCACCGTGCCGACTTTAACTCCGAAGCGGTAGGCTAGGTCCTGGTTGCGGAGGTCCAGGCGGAGTCGCATCAGCGTCAGAAGCAGCTGCTGGAACTTGGAGAGCTTCACGGTTTTCATGCCGTCCATGTGAGGTGCCAGCAGCCACATGACCGTCTCCAGGACAAAGTAGTTTGGTAAACCAGTGTAGAACTTGACCTTCTCTGCATCGTTCCTCAACGAGTTCTCAGAGAGGGCCATTTTGTCCAAAGAGTCCCTGAGGGTCTGGTTCTCCTTCTTCAGGGCTTTCAGGACATTGTCAAAGTTAACCGCTGCGTCCGACGTGTTAGGAGCAAACTTTCCTTTCTTGCAGTCAATAGATTCATCATCCTCGTCATCGTCTTCATCGCTGCTGAGGGAAGACGGCGCACTTTCCTCCACAGCCGTCTCCTGTTCCCTCTCCTCAGGATGCTCCTCCTGACCCCGCTCCCCCCTCACTGAGCTGCCCTGGCCCTGCAGGAACAGCAAGGCGTTAGCTGCCTCCACGCGGGCCTCCTGCTTGTCCAGGATCTCCAGGGAACCGGGCTCCTTCATCTCTGGGGATAAGGGAGCGGGCGTGAACACAGAAGGAACATAATCTGGAGAACGTGGGTTCTTCACCTGTTTACCTGCAGGAGAAAAAAGACGATGTAGTAATTAAAATGGTGGAAAACGTGTAAATATAGGAAATGATGTTCTAATGGGGTGTTTGTGGGTGGGACAATGAAGGGCCTGCTCTGATGAAAGTCATTCTAGTCATGGTCAATTACTATACATAAGTATGATTTTGTAAGAAAAAGATTACTAATTTATGTTAATCAAAATGACTAAGTTGTTAAAAAAAAGACTGTGAATAAGTTACACTGGGGAAAGTTCTTCATATTTTCAATTATATCACCCTTACCTTTTGTAGAATAGTGTTACTGATGTAAAACTTGTGGGGTTTTGTGTCCCTCAGGGGTGATTCATTGTCTCTATGTGGTAGTATAGTGACCTCTTGTGTAGTTCTGTGCCTTATTTGATTGTTTCTTTGGTAGTTTAATGTCCATTTGGGCATCTTTTTATTAGTTTTGTGTTCCTATGTCTCTCTTACTTCGTTTTGTGGAGGTTTGGTGTCTATTTGTGGTAGTTGTGTCTCTCTGGGGTGATTTTGTGTCTCTTTGTGGATGTTTTGAGTGTCTTTTGCAGTCAATTTACAGTGATTTTGCATTTCTATTTGGTCATATTGTGGGAAGTTTGGTGTCTCTTCTTAATTCCTTGTATTAATGTGTGTTGCGATCCTTTACTGTATATATAATGGTCGATATGTGGTCATTTTGCCTATCTTTGTGGTATTTTTGAGTCTTTTTAGAGTAATTATGCTGAAGTTTTGTGTCTCTTATTGATCCCTAGTTAATGGGTGTCTCTATCATAGACTTTATAAAAGGTCTAGATTTGGTCGTTTTGCCTATTTTTATGTTATCCTTGAGTGCCTTTTTAATCAATTTGTGGTAGTTTTGTTTCTTTATGGTCACCTGTGAACCCCTTAAAATGATACATAAAAAAACTAAGACTTCACACTTATAGAAATTCATTTTGACCACAAGTAGTTTGTTTTCGATGTTATAACATGGGGTACTTTTGCCTGTGTGCTCCTGTGTTTAAACCTTTATATATACAGTCTATTGTTCATATTACCTGAGATGAAGTGAGTACTACACAGCCTGCTGCCGTCGTTAGGCACCCAGCCCTCCCGGTTAACAGCAGCTATCCACCGCTGCTTCCTCTCGGGGTCCCGGGGGAAACGGTAGAAAGATAACGCGGTGCCCGGTGTCCTTCTGTTCCTACAACCAGCCACCACACATGTGTGAACCATAGTAAGGCCACGACCAGAAGCGTGGAGGTGTGCGCAGATATCTGTTCGGTGTTTTGACTCCCAAAATGGTGGCAAACTAGAGGCGAGGCTGACACAAAAAAACTGCTGTAACGTCATCAACGGTTGTTTGCATTAAGCGATCTGATTGGTACATCTTCGAGCGACGTCACTGAAATAGGATCGTGTACTCACGCGGGGCTGCTGCAACTACGCTAACGAAATAATAGTAAATCAATCCACGCAGCGTTAAAATGGCTTACCAAAATGCTAACTTTATATAGTAACAGAAGTCTAATAAAACGAGCTTGAAATAACAACAAATAGTCCTACACAGAGGAGACGTTTGCGGAGCTGTTAACTGGCTAGTTTACATGTTTAGCTAGCTAAGATGCCATTTAATGCTGCGTTCCTTTTACTAACGATACTTGTTACCTTGGTGACATCGACATTTGTTATAGCGCCAATCAACCTTGTTTACAATTAATGTCAGCAGCCAGTAGTGGTTCTGCTGAATATATACAGTAGATCTTGCAAAGGTGTGGTTCTGCTAATCTTTTGCTGCAGAACAGTGTGGTTCTTCTTCTGCTGTTCCTGCATCCCGAGTGGATAACATCAAGTTGGTTTAATATGCTGTGGAATTAGGAAGATCACTGGTTTGTTTTTATTGAAGCCGTATTCTTACACTTTACTCTCATTCAGCGGTGGGATGTAACTTAGTAAATTTACTAAAGCACGCTACAATTTTGACATATGTACCTCAATTTAGTAGTATTTCCATAATATACTACTTCAACTCTATTTCAGAGGAAAACATTGTACTTTGTTTACACCAAATATATCTCACACTTCGTTACTTCTCACATTAAAAACACAGGATACAGTACATTATACATCTCCATGATAATTAACTGCCACCATAAATAATCCTAGGTGTATGTTAACAATACAGACAGAAAAATATATTACATAATAATATATAATACATCTGCATAACCTTTGATATTTTAGGTATATTTAGCTAATAATACTTTTGTAATTTTACTTGAGTAATATTTTGAAATCAGGAATTGTAATGTGTTTAAGTGTTATAGGAGTATGCTTATAACTCTACTCTCTTAGTACTTGAGTTCCATTTGTACTGAAGTGCAATATTGCCATAGTTGTACTTCACTAAAGTATCAATGTTTCATGATGATTTATATTACATTTTATTAATTTAATATATGTTTATAATCAAAACCCCAAGTTTATAGAATACTAATTCTTTTTGAAAGAAAAAATTAAACATGAATGGCAAAATACATTTAAAAATACAGGTAGTTAAAGACCAAAAAAACAATTCAATGATTCATGAGAGGGTGTATACTTTAATATATAGTTTATTGACATTTAACAGGATTTTTTTTTAGAAACCAGCATCTCTTCAGCTTAAAGATGGATCTAACTAGGACGTCTCTACATTTTTGCTCCTAATCGGACAGCTTGATGTGTCCAAGCGCCCTTTACTTTTGTGTGCACAGTTTGTACACAGCGGTGTTCCTGGCTCCTCCAATGTGCTTCAGTCTCTTGAGCTCCATCAGACAGAGGATGAATATGGGGGTCTTTGTTCCCACCATGCAAATCCTCTGCAGCTCCTCCATCTGAAACTCTGTGTGTTCTCCTGCAGAGGGCAACAAAGGACAGCAACTGAGTAAAGCCTACAAACAACTAGTCTCCTGGACTTATGCTGTGGTTGTTTGATGTAAACAATCTTAAGCATGCCATTTGAGATCTTAAAAAAATAAAAAAGGGAATGTATTTTTTTGTAGATCCTCTCAAATTCAAACACCTAAACAAGTTATTTAGACCTTATCTGTTCACTTTGACCATGAGAGTAGTGTAGCACTGACCTTCACTCTCTGCTGTGAACGTGTTGATGTGCTCCACCACCTCGTTGAGGTTGTGCAAAGTCATCAGCCTCATGTACTTTGGTAAAGTCTGGAACTCACTCTCCGACACCACAGACAGTCTGGGAAGAGGACAAGTAACAATTGAAATCTTTATTACAAAAAACATTAAGACATTAATGATACCGAGATAGCTGTAAACTCTCTTCTTCATTTTGCGAGAAAGAAAAAAGCAACAAGGGTCTTTCCAACGTATTATCTTTTCTAACGATTTTCTATCCTTGAAAACTGCAAATTTAAATTCAAGTGTTTCCAAAGACTTCCAGCACCTGGCAAACACTGTCTAAAGCAGGGGTGTCAAACTCAAATACATAGTGGGCCAAAATAAAAAAATGGGTACTAGTCGAGGGCCGGACTGGTTCAATGTTTATTGCAGAACTTATTGAAATGAACGTATTGCACATATTAAACCTGGAACTAACAAAGCTTAAATTATTGCCTATAAAAACAACATTAAACATTAAATAATCAGTTGCATTAATTTCTTATGGCTCTATCTGCAGCTTTTCCAGAGTCATTTCTTATGAGTACATATAGCTTCAAAAAAACAATTTCCCTTAAAGAAAAAACAAACATGCCCTGTTGTCGTGAGAAAAAAAAAATGCATTAGGAAACATCCATGTAAACTCTGTGATGCTAGTTCAAGCAGATACTTGGCATCTCATCTTGGGTGCAAGTTCATCAATGTTTGGGCTCAGGCTCTGAGCTGAGGAAACCCTCAGGATGGAGTGAAGGTGTGCGTGCAATATACCGGCGGGACAGATCTAATAGTAATTCGAAATTATCCTGCGGGCCGAAATTAAATCCACCAAGGGCCTGATTTGGCCCCCGGGCCTTGAGTTTGACACATGTGGTCTAAAGCATTTGTACAAATTGGATCAAGCCGCAGTTAGAGTTAGGGTAGTGATTTTCTTTCTTTTCTTACCTGTTTTTATAATTCCCCCCCCTGATATTTGGGTGCACAACAGCGATCGTAGGGTTCTTCAACCGAGCCTGGGACACAAGCTTCAAAATAAAAGAGAAATCAGAAGTGAGAAAAACACAATACAAGTAATTGGCCTAATATGTCCAACACAATTAAAGTCTCTTCATTATCTATACTCAAACAGCAAATTTCAGGAAGCCTGGGGACCTTTTATGAATGCATTTGAAACTGTGTAAATCATTCCGTTATTGGTTTAGCTTAAGAGCAGCATATGTATGTATGTATGTATGTATGTATGTATGTATGTATGTATGTCAGTGGCGAACCGTGTTTATCACAACTGGACCTTCCGTAGACACACACACATTAAACTATAGGAAGCTTCATTATCACATTAGGGAATTAACATAGGTGACAAAATAGTTAATTTAACTTTTTATTCCACAATTAAAACCTTTTTTGTGCAAATAGCAGCAAAGTAGTGGACATCTTTTAAACAACATTATAAAAATAAAATTTAGACCAGCTCCCTGAGTGGTTTACAAAATTACAACTTAAAATAAATATAATTTGTCATAAAACAAATAACTTGTAATAAAAATTGAACTACTACATAACAATATCAACTTGTGAACCATTTTGTTTCATAAACCTTTTTTAAATCAAAATGTCTTAGCAACAGTCAGTGCAAAGTAAAACAAAGTGTTCTTGGTCATCATGACTAGCCTAAACAAATAAAGATGAGGGTTGCGGTCGGATAGTTTAAAAATCAGCTCCTAAGTTCTAACCCTTTCTCCTATTCCTTGACCTCTGAGTGAAACGTCACGGGGTTAAGGGATAGTGGATAGGAGAATTCAAAAGGACTTAGGAGACGAGACCGCGGTACTTTAGAGAATCCGAATGCACTTTCACTATCCGACGTGTTTATGAAGCGCCAGCGGGCGTCATGAATGTGCGTCTGCTGCTGTGGGGAAACTATGGAAACTACAGTTAGCGGACTACAACATGGATGTTCAATAAGAACGAGGGACTACTGTAAACTCATCTAGAGACTCTGCACCGTGCTCTGATGCTGTTGTTTTATGCTTTATGAACGTGGACAACAGAGAAACATATTCTTCATGACCAAAGTTGGAATTTAAATAAAAAAGGAAAGTGAAACTTCTGCTCGTCACCCTCTCCCTCCGGTCCACATTAATACAAATGATCCCAATACGTATGATTGATGAACATATCTTAAAATCAATACAAATGTATTTATTATAAACGTTATTCCTTAACATCTATCACTGTGTATATCACCATTCAAACATCTTTTAAAAGTTGAACAAACCCCACACAGCTGAGTAAAGACTGTGAAATGTTGACTTTATTTGATCATTTCAGTAAAAACTAACGTTCATATTTCTCTTTTTGATTATAATACTGACGAACGTTCAACACAAAGCACTTTGGCAACTTACCACATACGTTTTAAAATGCTTAATAAGCACCGTAACTTTCATGATATAATTTCTCCGTCATAATCGGTTGTTTTCGTGAACGGCCGACTGTTGAGCGACGGCAAATGCTGCAAGGCATTGTGGGGCAGCATTTTCTCCTCTCCTTTCGGTTAGGGAGGTCCAGTGGTTCCTAAGCTAAAGGAGGTTGTAAAGGAAGTTTGAAACCTCCTTTCCTTTCATTTAGAGAATTGGAACGGCACTTATCATGGCTGCCACTGAGGGACTTCCGGGTCATTTCACTCCGTTAGGAAGGTTCCTAAGGCAAGCTAAATGGACTATTCGACTGCAGCCCTGCTTTCTTTCTGAACAGAGCACCTAGCAGTTAAATCAATCTGAACATTTCTTTTTCACAATTTCAACTGTTGCATAATGTAGTCAAATATAATAATTAGACTTTTTAAGCATCTGTATGCATTGCTCAATCAGGCTTAGAGGTTTTTGGCCAAGAATACTAGTCTATCCACTAATGCAGGCTTGAGACAAGAACGTTGGCAAGTGACGATGTTGCCACTTGCACTGAAAAGCCTCTCTGAGGGGGCATTTGTAGCAGGTATGCATAGGTACTTGCGGGCAAGCTTGGCGAGTTGTGGAAAGATTACTTTGTGCGTTTTCCACCATGCAAGTGGATCTTCATCTTTGTCTATTGAAGGTGTTAGCAGGTAGCTGTTTAACTCTGCTTCCACAGCATCCTTTAGGTACTGAGACAAATCAGCCTTTGCTGCAGCTTCGCTCTGTTTAAAGAAACTTCCCAAAGACCTCTTGCCTTTCTTTGCCTGGGACGTGCCAGCCACTTCGCACTCCACTTCAGTGCTGCAGCTTGCAGCTGCAGTCTCCTGGCATGTCATGATTGTCGTCATCATCTCCGATGTCACTCTGGCCTTGACTTGGGGCTTGCTGTCTGCAGTGACGAAGTCCATCTTGAACCGGGGGTCCAAACAAGATGCCATATCTAGCAGCTTCTGAGTATCTTCATCTTCATATTTCTCATTCAGGTAGTCCCTCATCTCTTTCTTCTTGCTCAGGTCTGTGTCTTCTTCTCGCATTAGCAGCATTGACGAGTTGAAGAGGTGAAGAACTGGCTTCACATAGGAGACACTAACGTATTCTTCCCCTGAAAGTGCGTCTGTGAACTCCAGCAATGGGCCCAGGGACTTGCTAACAGATTCCAGGACATCTATATCTTGCCAGTTTGGAATTAGATGCTTCTTGTCCACAGACAGGACCTGACTTAAAGCTTTCTGCTGCTCCAGTATCCTGCTGATCATCATCTGCCTGGAACCAGAGTCCTGCACGGGTCTGATTTTCAAGACCCGCTCCCGCCCCCGCGACGTGCAATACCGAACCCGCCCCGTTACCCGCACATATTGCCAATTAGTTCCGCAACCCGACCCGACTCGTCGGCACAAGATCCGCAACCCGACCCGAACCCGCATAGCATATGAGCAGTGAAAACGTGCAATTATTAACACACGCAGTTGCATATTTGTCTCAAAAAGCGTGGGATGTCGGTTATTTCCTCCATCTAGGATGACACCAGAAGCCTCCCAGACGTTGGATTTCGCTCTTGAGGAAGTGTTATTGAAAATGCTGTATTATCCGCTAGAGAGCTTCACCTCAGCCATTTCGAATGTGGCGCGCACAGCAGCAGATTGATGCGCTGCAGAGGTTATGATTATGCGCGGTCCCGCGGGGGAGAGGTCTGAGGATTTAAACATTAAACTAAATTATTATTATTTAAATATATTTATTATGCAATACCCGCGACCCGACCCGCATCATCTTTGTTTTACCCAGAACCGAACCCGGAAAAAAGCGTTTGAAAAAATACCACCCGCGAATCACCTTTTTTGCGGGTCACCCGTCGGGTACCCGACCCGATGCAGGACTCTGCCTGGAACCCCATCTTGTTTGGCATTCTGATATGAGGGAATGTGATGGCAGATTGAGTTCCTTCTGGGCTTTTGCAAGAGCACTTCTGGCCTTCCAGCTGTGAGAGAAGTGACCCACCAGCTTCTTGTACACACCCGCAGTACGGTTGATGCGGCCATCCTTTTTCACTGCATTTTCTAAGGGGGAATAAATGAATAAAAAGTGAAGATTAAATATTATACACATTTATATTAACTATACATTTACAAGTGTGTGTGTGTGTGTGTGTGTGTGTGTGTGTGTGTGTGTGTGTGTGTCCTCCAGTTTGAAATTAGCTGCCTTCAACAATGAATTGCTTATAAAACGTAACATTTATGAAACTCATTCAAATTAAGAAAACTGTTGCATTTCAGGACAGGTTGTTAAGCACTCCTGGAAAAGATAGCATTACTCTGTTCCACTCCCCTGAATAAAGGTTATTAAAAAAAAGACTCGACACAGACACAGCTTAGTAAATAAAGCGTGGGCGGGGTAACTTACCAACAGCAAGATGAAGTCTGTGGCCAAAGCACTGCAGCCTGGTCCACTCGTTCAGGGAGGCAGCCTTCACCATATTTGCAGCATTGTCTGTTGTTATACAGACTTGACGTGTCTCATCCAGGCCCCAAGCAGCCACCGCTTCTCTTAGCCCCGCTGCGATGTTCTCACTTGTGTGATTTTTTGGGAAAAATGCCGCTTGCAAACAGCGACTTTTCAGTCCTCGTCAATAAAGTGCACCGTCAGGCTTATGTACGGCTCCGTTGTCCGGCTGGACCACAAGTCCGTTGTAACAGCATAGTATTCCACTTTAGACAGCTCTGTTTCAACTTTTGCCCTGCATTTCTCGTACAGGTCGGGGATGGCGACTTGAGAAAAATAGGTGCGTGACGGTATTACGTACCGCTTATCAAGTGACCGGATCATTTTCTTAAAACCCTCTTTGGTAACGGTGTAAATTGGTACCATGTCTTTTGCCAGGTGAAATGTTATGGCATCTGTGATGTCTTTATGCCGTTTTGAACCTCTCTCATATGGTGCAACACCGGCAAAGGCATCTGAAATAGTTTTTTGCTTTGGCTGTGGATGGCAATCAGATCTGACTTTGCACTCGTCATACAGAGATTGGTGGTGTCTATTCAAATGGGCGAGTAAATTCGACGTGTTGCCGAAACAATTGCATGGCACTGTCTACAAAGTACCTTTGTTTGGTCAACATCAACCTTTTTGTATCCAAAATAGTTCCAGATGGCAGATGTTGCTTTTCTTTTTCGAAGTAAATCTTCATTCTCTCCGGTATTGTCCTCCTGTGCCTCGCTCATTTTTTACCGGTGTTTTGATGGTCTGCAAACTAGCGGGACGGGGCCTGCTGTGATCAAGAATGATTGTGATTGGTGGTTTGCTGTGCATGCAGAGCCTGCATGTCACTCACTCAAGTACCCCTGACATGAGAGCCGTGCAAGTTTTCCTTTTGTAGCAAGCAGCAAAATAATTGTAACATGACGTGTTTGAGTTAATTCACCTACTTAATATCGGACGTCCTAAAAATAAAAATCGCACGTATCTGCGGTGTGAATATCGCGCATGCGCATATTGCGGTTATCGCCATGACACGATATATCGTTCAGCCCTAATGTGTAGGTTGCATGAGTGTACATCATCCAACAATATGTCTGGCATATATTCGTGTGTGTGTGTAAGGATCACTGGCAGTGATAGGGGATTACTTTAGTTGTTATTGTTTTTCTTGTTTTGTTTTTTATCAGCACAGACCCATCGCTAATTTGCATTGGCATATATTATTACTATATGACAAACACTGCTTATTGATTGTCGAAACTAAATCAAAAGATTTTTGATGTGAAAGTCTCTCCATTATTGATCTAGGAATGAGATAAAGCCAAAGACTGTTTGAGTGAATCTCAATATAAAAACTCAAGGTACAGAAACTATAACACACAATGTCTGTTTGAATAAGCAGGACTTACTTTACAGATGTCCTGAGTCACAGAGCTCAGGTCGGGCATCTCGGGGGTGGTGGGCTCTCCGTAGTCCATCCTGATGCGGGGGGTCCCAAAGCTGAAGTTCTGGGTGGGGCCATCCAGATCCAGACTGTTGACAGTGGGCTCCTTGTTGTCCTTTGTAATGTTGAAAGTCTTCCTCAGCATTTTTTCACTTCTCTAGAGGCAAACAGGAGACATATAAAAAGTGGGGCAAACATTTAAAAATGATGATGAAGTTCACGTTTTAATAAAGTTATTGTTTTACTGTCTTGAGTAAAATACAGAATATTGATATATTACTAAATATAGATTAGCTATTTTTGTTGTATTTAGCTATATTAACAGCAGCAAAAGGTCAAACCCCAGAAAGGAGTTAGCATTTTTCACTTCCAGTTCAGTTTTCACTGAGTTAATGGGTTTTTGGTTAAATGCTTAAAATAAGGGGAATGATTAAGGATTAACTTACACCAGAGATGGGCAAATGGCGGCCCGGGGGCAACCGGCTGTTGTTATGCCTGCTGTGACATTTAAGTTACCGCTTGTAATTATGCCGTTACAATCTTAAAAGTTGTATTTATCATCTGAATTTGCCGAAACAAGTTTAATATTCCTAAAACCAAGACTTTTTTTATTTGAAATCACATGAAAACAAACTGTCACGGACCCTGACGTGTTATCTATGATTACTACGCTTTTCATTCATAGTTTCAGCGGGAGGGAGGGGGAGCGGCGCTGAGGAACAGCAGAGGCAGAGCTGACAGGTGTCTGTGTTGACACTCCCCTTATAGAGAGGCGAAGTCCCTCCCCTTCCGGGGGACCTCCATGGGACCTTATTTCGGAAAAAGTATGTATTGAAGTCAATGGAGAGAGAGAGATTATCTTTTGATCCCGTTTGAATTGTGCCACGAATTACACATATGATGTTTGTCAATTTAAAAGATAATTTTGCAAGTAAAAAAAATTCAAATGTGTCGTAAAACTGTGAAGTAACACTTTTCTTTGTGAGAAGCGCTCAATGAACTGCATCTCTGGTCTTGCATACGTCACCAACACCAAGATGGCCGTCACGTTACATTTCACCTCTTTCTTTCAGAATGAGGAGAAAAGTATTAAAAGAGGTGAAAATCACTCCAACTCTGGGCATGTTGAGAGCTGTGCGTACACACAAGGGGAGTTAGTCGGTTCCGTAAGAGCCAGCATGCGGGACCGGCTTTACAAGGTTTCGGTGAGTAACACGGGTGTAATGTGTAACGTTAATGTCAGCTAGCTAAATTCACTTAATCGACTCTGGGATTTGTAGTCTTTCTAGTTGCGTATTTATCATAGTCTTATATTTCAACAGTTTTACGACAAACTGTGACTTTTTTGACATGGAAATGATTATTTAAGATTGACAAACATCATATGTGTAATTCATGGCATAATTCAAACGGGATCTAAAGATAATCTTTCTCTCCCCATTGACTTCAATACATAATTTTTCAGAAATAAGGTCCCATGGGGCGGAAGTAGATGGGCGGGACTTCGCCTCTATTGTGCGTCAGCAGAGACTACAAGTGTCTAAGGTTCAAGTTAAGAGAACTAATGTCTGGGTAGTGTTCATGACTTCATGTTTATGTCATCTCAATGCACACACATTTCCCGTGCTTTCCAATAGTTTAAAATAGTTTTATTCCACTGTTAAATAACCTGTTCATTACAAACATGCCACTTTAGTGAGCTTATTAGAGGATGTTCCCTGAAAGATTGTAAAATGTCAAAGATGTCAGACTTAGTATATTTGTTAATAATTACATACTATACGTGGAATGTGTGTGTTCCAAGTGAATCTGCAGCCCCCTGGTGGCCAGTACATAAATGATGTGGCCCCCACCACCATCCAAGTTGCCCACCCCTGGTCTACACAAACCCCTTACCCAAATCAAAAAGGGACCTTTTTTGGCTGCACATGGCAACTTGTGTTTTACCAATATGGCAATCAGCCGTTAAAAGTGACCTGGCTTTAAACAGCGTTTCTTTGTTCTTACTTTCTGTAGGGAATTTCCCAAAATAGACTCCAGGTTTGGCATCTCTGGCATCTCCATGTCCTCCGCACCCATGCTGCTTATCTCCGGCACGTCGTATTCCCAGGGGCGTTTGGATCCGATTGCTCCGGTACGAGATGATTCAAAGAAGTGGGAATCCTCCTCAGAGTTCCCAGGCTGCTGTGCACTCTGTGGACACATGCACACACTCTGAGTATTTGTGTCTGTAAAGAAATGCATTCTCCACATGCACTCATATGTCATACCTTGTTAGAGCTGACCAGGCGGTTCATATATGGAGTCAGAAATGCTGGGACCTCTGGGGTAGTAGGCAGGTTTCCAAGGCGACGGGGGGATTCTGGGGGATCGTTGTAGGAGCAGTGAACGTTTGTCTTTATGAGCTTGAGCCCTGGAGTGGAAAACACAGGAGGCTCTGGGGTCTCCAGGTTGTGTGCTGAAGGCAAAAAGTACATATAGGTCTGATGGACTTCTCAACTCGTCATAAAAGCTCCCAAACTGGCTGAAGTCGCCCACTCCTCAGAGCAATTACCAGAGGGGAATGCAGCGAGAGACAATACTTTCTAACGTGACGCACTTGAACATTTCCCACTAAATACTGAAGGTGTTATGATGCAGAGAAACAGGACCATTTACACGAGAGAAAACATTTGGAAATTTAAATAAGAAAAAATAAGGAAATTAAAACACTTGAAATAAACAAATAAAATAATTAATAATGATATAAAAATGGGACATGAAGATAACAATTGTAATAGGGTCCTTATTCAAACTGTTCTTTAGGAAAGTCGTTATCTTAAAAACACACGTAGGTCGTTTTTTTTAATGCAGATTCTGACACAAATGTTTTGTTATTTGGAATTCTGTTCTTGTTTGAATAGATTCTAGTCTCACTCGAGTGCCCACCTTTGTTAATCTAGGCAGCTATTTTATATTCTTAGTCCTTAGACAAAGTGGTTATTAGTTTGAATCACTTTTTAGATTTGTGGTTAGTAGTAAAGTTGATAATTCAATCCTACAAAATGATAAAAATAAAATGTAAGACCTCTCTAGGGCTGTGTGATATGGAGAAAGTCAAATATCATGATATTTTTGATCAAATAGGTTAATATCCATGTTGGGTGGACCATTTCACTAAATATTCATCAGTAATGTGGTGACAATGACTAAGGTGGTAAAGGCAAATATTAGAATAGTTAAAACATTAAAGAAATTACATCACATTCATGTAATTTCCAGCCTTTGAAGGCTTTATGCAATATTATAAGAAAAGAGACAATATCTAGTTTCATATCAGATCTATGATAGATATATTGCACAGCCTTGTCTTCCAAAACATAACTCATTACTGAAAACTGTAAGCAACAGTAAATAATTCAACTAAAGAGGGCAGTCTAGGAGTTACATACCTTGTGTGTTCAAACTCTCCATTAAAGCGTTAACTGGGGGTTCAGGCCGGTCTTGTGATGGTCTGTAAAGAGGAAGCTCATACATCAGCAATAAGCGGTGACTCTACAGTAGACTGGAAAGTAGGGCTGCTCGATTATGGCAAAAATCATAATCTCGATTATTTGGGTCAATAATTGATATCACGATTATTAAAAACGATTATTCATTTACTTTGAAAACATCCATTTAAAAAAAGAAGAAGATTTGAACAGTTGATTAGGGTTAGGTATAATTCAACTGAAAAACCAATGCATTTTCTTTTAAATAAAAATTAAATAAATGGTTTTTTATAAACTGCAGTGGGGTTTGAACCTGACATCCTGATCCGAACACCAACGTACTAGTCCACTGCGCCACACAGCCTCCCTTGATGCTCATTATCCTCTACCTTTGGGGCTTTTCAACGTTCTTCTTGAACAGATCCATAGTGAAGTCGTTGTTGAGACACATGGTGTACTCTGTAAGGCCAAAGTCAGACGGAAGAGGCGTCCGCAGATCTTCATCATCCATCCGCAGGGCACATTTGGGGGTAAAGGGCATTGGTGGTGGCGGTGCAGGCTCGTAGAGCGAGGGGTAAGGCAGACTCATCTCAGGCATGGGGGGCACTTCAGAGCAATCAGCTAACGATTTCTTCAGCTGCATCTCAGAGAGGCCGAAGTCAGACAACCGTGGTGTTCGCATAACGTCAGTGAAGGCCGGCGGTTTGGCCGTCTGAGGCGATGAGGAGGGACTGCCTCCAGCCTCCTCCTGGCTTTCCCCTTCTTCTTCTCCTGCTTCATTGTCCTCTGATTCTTCACCTGCAGCCTTTGACTGCTGTCCGATAGCCTCTGTGCAAGAGAAAGATTCCATAAAAACACATTTGATATCATGTTGTTTTCTTCAGTGAGCAGCCAAAGGGATAGTTTTACCATAGTTTATGTGTTAGAGCCAGTCTTTTGGTTTTGTAAAAAGTGCAGAATATAGTCACCTAATCATGACCTCTGCAGTCAAGGCTATAAAAGACTACATTCCCCAGGCTCTTAAGAGACACAGCGATGGGCTACCTGTGTGGAAGACGCTGTCTAACCAGTAGGGGTGTTGAAAATAATCGTTTCTACGATGCATTGCGATGCGGACGTGGACGATTCGGTCTCGATGCAGTGACGGAAGATAATCGGTTATAGCGTAGTAACGTTGCTTCCTGATTTTCCGGCCGCGGCTTTACTATAACGTTTTTTTTTCTGTCACTTTAATATCTAATCGGTCGGTGACATAGAGATCAGGGAACAGACGTGACAGCGGCACAGCAACACCGAACACGGAGCAGTCTGCTTTATCCACCAACACAAGAACACCAGTCCAGAACCAACAGCAGAAGGACCCGCTCTGAATCACTCCGTGTCGCTGCGGCTCAGGGATTTATGTTTTTCAAAAATAATCGCGTTACAATCATGTCAGGTTTTTGGTGGATTTAATTAAGTCTTGGATTGCAGAGTATGAATGTCCTCTAGCAATTTTCAGACAATATATACGTGTGTAAAGTTTGTGAAGGCAGGAGGAAAAAAGCTTCCGCGATCACCGTCTCCTCCGTTCCACCAAGCCCCGCCCCCTCCTGAAAATAATGAGTGACAGGCTGATAGTGACCCGATAGAAACTTTATTATTCACTTAATCACTGAGATATAATGAAGCTAACTTAATCTCATACATTCATGGGATTTATGCAACAGTAAGACAGAGAATGTAAGTGTGCACCCACATGCAGTATTTTAGTTGTTATATGCTGTTGTAAATACTCCTGTTGTCTGCTGTGTTCAGACTCAAGTCCTGTGTGTGATGCCACATTCAGGACATTCAGTGTCCCTTTTTAACAGAAGACCGTTGCTAGAAGCTGCAGCTAGACTGCAGAAGCACTATTTTTTGTTTTTGAGGATGGAACACACACAGATATAGGGAGGCTAGACCAATACAATTCATTTATTTTGGTTTATAAATGAATGTCAAGACATTTCTGTTATTGATTTCTGAAGCACTTTCTAAATAATAAAAAGAGAGTTCATATGTATTTACTGCATGTATGCATTGATGGAAAATAAGCCATGTGCAGTAATATAGAAAATTGAGGATGCAACGCATTGGTATGAATCGTGATGCATCGGGATATCGAATTGAATCGAATCGTTGACAGGATAATCGTAATCGAATCGAATCGTGAGACCAGTGAAGATGCACAGCCCTACTAACCAGTAAGTTATATTAGCTTACATAAAGTAAATAAAGAAGGATCCAAGTTGTTTATTATTTGATTTAAGTTGTGCCTCTTTTGTTATGTTTTGTTTGACTATTGTAAAGGCCAATTTTCTTTGTTGAATGTTTAAATGGACAACATCACACCCATAATCAGAAGTAAAACAAGTCATCACAACTGTAAGTAAAAGATAACGCATTAGAGCGGTCGGGTTGAATGGTCTTAACAAAGTAAGTCAGCCGCGACAGATATTTGACTTACGTAGCTTCTCGTACTGGAGGTGTGCCGACTGCCTTATACTGGACGTTATTCACTGACTTTGGATAAGTATCAACACTATCCCTTTAAGAAAAGAGATACAGCTACTGTCATTACTTACTGCTCGCTCTCTGGGTGTCTCGTGGAGCTTGGTAACCGTATTTCTCCCAGTGTCCCTTAAGTGCCTGGATGTCCTTAGTCACTTTTTTCTGCATCACTCTGCTGGCCTTAATAAAGCTGTCCACATAATTCTCCCGCGCTTTCAGCTCAGCAATCTGACCCTGGAGCTGCCCCTGTATGAAGACAAAGCACAGTTCCTTATTGCTCTTTTTAAAAAGTAAATCGGCCCTCAGATGTAGAGTGTATGGTAAAATGTGTGTTAGAAACAGACTGAATAAAACGAATGAATCACTTTCACACTAACTGTTTCTACACATTACATGTCAGTACTGTGGACAATCCCCACAGGAGCAATTTGGGGTGAAGTGTCCCAGGGACACAACGACAAGCTGACTGCAGTGGGACTCGAACTTGCTATCCCCTGATTCGAAGTCCAGCACACTATCCACTGAGCCACAGCCTCCATAGCCTACACTAGATGCTTAAAGAGCCTGTGACAGCATCCCAACAACTGTTGTGCAATGAAATATTGGGCTACTAGTCATCTCGAGCCGTCAGTTTAAAAAAGAAAAAGCGATACCGTTCCGTTAAATATCAATAATTTCGAACATCGCGGGGAAATTCCTTCGACTCATTTTGAAGTTTTGGGGGAAGCCGGAAGTGACGTCAATGCGGGAACGCTTCACTGTGCGGCGAGAGAGCCAAACACGGACAAAGTGTGTTGTCATGCGTAGAAATGGTGAATTACTGAGTTTAGGCACGTTAATAACGTTTTAATTAAGTTGACTACAGTATATTCATATTTGTCAGTGCTTTCATGTCAATTCGGCGAACATAAACATAAATGATCGTGGTGAAGATGATGATTACATTAGGATTAAAAATCGGTAGTGAGAGCTGCTGAATTTCCTCCCGTGGGATGTGATATAAAAACAAATCGATTATTTTTGTAGTTGTAAACTCAAGTGGATGAAACTACATGTATTAGTGCTTTCATGTCAATTCGGCGAACATATGATACATTAAATGATCGTGAGAATGATGATTACAAATCGTTTGTTTGTGCCGGTCTGCATTTCCTGATGAGAAAACAAACCGATGCTTTTTGTAGTTGTAGTACACCAACATGGATTAAACGTCTGGTTTTTTCACCACAATGTTGGGGAAATTAATGGATAAAATGCACGGATTATTATTATTATTATTATTCCCACTCCGATCGGGACACTAGGTCCACCGTTTCCCCGCAGCGAGGCTCCCCCCGTTGACAGTTTACGTGGGCTGGGTGCAGTCGCGGACGAATCCCGATGGGCCGGTACCGAAGTGGGCCGGTCGGATAAATCACTAGCACATCCCCCATAGGCGGCGCGTGAGGCTCAGGTTTGGGAAGGCTAAATAACTTTTTTTACGACTCCGGCGTCTATAGAAAAGAGATCAACTCAGTGTGCGGAGTTTAAATCTCTCAAGTCATATTACAGGATAAAGGATTTAAACTGCCGTATGCAGAGAAGACGCCGACGTGTCGCACTTATCATTCATATTACATCATCAATCAGATCATCGATCATATAATATCATAATATATCATATATTTCCTTATCTGAGTCAGCTTCTCCAGCCGTATCTGGCCGTGTAACACTTACAGTGTCACATACTGTATGCAGAAGTATTATTTTAAGCAACACATTATGTTGACGAAACACTCGAGTCAAATGTAATTAAAGTCAGATCCACTCGTGTCTTAGACGTGAACACGCTCTCAGCTGGAGAGAGAAACCCTGGCTTGAGTTACCGAGTTGATAACCAGCGTCGTAGGACCGCTTAGCGAGATCTCGTTTGTTAGTTTGTTGTTGTTAGTTTGTTACTCAAACATATCCAGGGTCTGTTGAACTGGCTTCGTAGTACAGGGCACAGGTGGCTAGCAGCGCTAATGTCAAAGACACAGACATTGCATTATATTTGTATTTTACCAGGATGCAGTGACACAAATATTTACATATTTACATTTACTATCTACAGCACCCGCCGCCCCTGACATCCCCCACTCCCCCCGTTGACAATTTACTAGCGGTACCGAAGTGGGCCGGTCGAGAGTCCCGGGATGATTTTTAGTCCCAGTCCACCACTGGCTACATGACCGTATGATCGCCCATATTGACGCACCTAATTCCTAAACTTCTAACAGATACAACATAAACCGATCCTTCAGCCTCATACGAGCTCTCAGACACGCTCAAAATTAAACTGTCATCGCTGTCTGAGCTTGCTGCTGTGTGCACCATCGCGCGTTTACATGCAGATGCTGGGATCCTGAACTGTGACGTGTGACGTCATTGCGGGCACAGCTGGAGCGCTGTGCCCGCAATGACGTCACACGTAATTTGGCGGGACTTGAAGAATCCCCGAGAAGATCCAGAAAATGGTCAACATTGAAGGGCAGATTAATGGTTATCAAAGTACAAATATCCAAAATCAGTTCAGTAACGGTTTTCAAGGGGACAATATTTACTCAAATTGATGGGTTTGGATGATGGGGGAAACTCGTGTCACAGGCTCTTTAAAGAGGAACATTATTTCTTTGCTGTACTTTCCTAATAATCTTTTTTCCTCAATGAACAACACCATTTTAATACAAATGACAAACCTTAAAGTTATGTCACACATTTGTTATCTAAAAAGTGTATATCTCTATATTAGCTGTATTGCAGGGCCATTGTGTTATATTTCGTATTATACCAATGTCACTCAGACCAAATGTCATTCAAAAATATATAAGAATTCAGTCTCACAAGAGTAAACGCACTTATCCTAACTAAATACCGTTTTATAGCTGTTTTGGTTAATTTTGCAGGTACTTAAATACATAGTTTATTTAAATAAAATGTCAGTTTGATTTCACCAACTGCCATCAAGGCAACAGACGGTCATTAGGAACATAAGAAACAATAACTTATCTAACTTGAAACAATGGAAATTGAAATGTTTTCGAGTATTTAATACAAGTGTAATATGCCGTTAAACTAAGCTAGGTTTCACAGTTTTCATAAATGTACCTTTAGGTTTCCGACTTCACAGTTCATTTGGTGATATGTTCTCATTGCTCTGGCTGTAGTTTCTGGAATAAAAAGGAACTCACATCAAAACCAGCTAAATGATGCATACACTATTATTATTTTTGGGTTGATAAATAGTGTTTTTACTCACCGCTGTCGTCGTCATCATTGTCGTCGTTGTTTCGGTGTTCAAAGTCGTGCTGGAGTTTAACCGTTTCTGACTCTAAATTCACCGCCAGCTTCTTCAGCTTATCAAAGAACGGAACCGTGGGGTTCATTTTCTGATAAAAAGTCTGAAATGTTGCAAAATGTAGAATAATTATAACATTTACTTCACCGAAAGGGCCGTTTGTTTACCTGCCTGCGCTGCCTTTTACCAACTTCAAAATGTTAGCGCCTTTCCTAGCGGAAGTCTTCTTTTCTTCTTCGTTGGTGTTTATTGGCAGCTTAACGGCGCACTATCGCCATCTATGGACTACAGTGAGAATGAAGAGATTGTTAGAAATATTTAAACAAAAACTACTAAAAATGTCTCTACATTATTTCCTGGTAAGAGCTAGGGTTATTTAATAATGTATTGTTATTGTTGTTATTCTGTATGTTTCTGGGCCATTTAATCAAAAGAGGACTTTACTAATTTGATCGAAAACGTGAAAGTATTTTCTCTTTGAGATAGATAGAATAGATAGAATCGGAGGGATGAAATAGATGAATGATTGATTGATTGATTGATTGATTGAAAAGTGTATTAACAGCTTGTATATTGGGTACAGTACAGTACAGCTCAAAACATACAATTGTTAAGGGGATGCAGACCAGAGAAAGACTTTCGTCTTGTTTACATCAGGGTCCCCCATTTCCAATTCATCATGTCATTTAAGACATATAAGACATATTTGACATACAGATGGCTTATTTACAATTTACATACAGGTGGTTTTTTTACATACAGATTGCTTGTTTACAATTTTCATTTTAGATTTCGTTCTAATACATCCTAACCGGACATTTAAGACATACCAAGTCTACAGATATACAGTTAGTAACAGAGTCTAAAATGCGAGTATATACATAGATGGGGGGGGGGGGGGGGAAGCTGTCTATTGAACGACAGGTTGAGATTTGTACCATTACAGGGGCCAGTTTTGCAATGCTCTCCCCCGAAGGTGCTCTTTAAGAGAGGTTTTGAAGGTAAGTATAGTTTTACTTTCCTTTACAGTTGTGGGAAGAGCGTTCCACCTTGATGTGGCATAATTGCGAAACGTGTATTCCCCCTTTTTTGTGCCAAATCTGGGTTTCACATGATTTGTGGAGCTCCCTCTGGTGTTATGATCATGGTATTCCTTGACCTTTGGGAAGAATTTTGACATGTACATGGGTACCATAGAGGTGTAGTGGATCTTGTAGACCAGGCCCATTGCAAGTAGCTGTACTCTGTCGTCTACTCTAAGCCATCCTAGGTTGTCAAAGTGGGCAGAGGTGAGGTGGGTTCTAGATGAAAGGTCAAGCAGTAGTCTGACCAGTTTATTTTGCGATGTTTGAAGTTTTATTTGTAGCGCCTTGGAGGTGCTATGGTACCATGACGTGCAAGCATAGTCATAGTACCCTTGAATGAGTGCTCCTGCCAGAGTTTTCAGGGTGTTTTTGTTTACCAGAGAGGAGATCTGGTATAGGAATGAAACCCATGCAGAGCACACAGCACACACAGTGACATTTGGCCTCTGCATTTAACCCATCCTACCAGGAGTGTAGTACTAGGAGCAGTGGGCAGCTATTGTACAGCGCCCTGGGAGCAATGGGAGTGGGGGGGTTGTCCGCAGTGGCGGAGCTGGGGGTTTAACCAGGGTTTTAACAGTACTGTTAATATCTTTACAGAAAATTCAGAGGTTTTTAATTTCACTGCTCTTTTAGCTGACATTTAACAAATGCAGGTACATTTTTAGCAGCTATTCATACTAAATCAGTTGTCCCTCCCCCTGGTGCAAGGTCCAACAGATCCATCTTTAGGCTCAGCAGCCCTGTCCCCCCATAATGCTGAACCTGAACCAGCTTTTCTCCCAACTGAAGGAGGTGAGCAGCATTGTGTTGAATGTGTTTAACAAATGTGTTTAACATATCTGAAGGGAGACTGGAATACAATATATATAGATATCAAAACAAAAAGCTAACATCTCATTTAAATTATAAATAATAATAATAATAATAATTCATTTATTTTATATAGGCGCCTTTCAAGGCTCTCAAGGTCGCCGTACAAACACATAAAAAACAAGATACACAATACATACCACCAGCATAAGAGACATAAACAAGACAATGCAGTATATAAATCAATCAAATAACCAAATAAATAAAAACAGAGGATGTGTGATGGATAATGATCAGGGTGGATATGCGAGTGTGAAGAGATATGTTTTGAGGCGTGATTTGAAAATGGGGAGAGAGTCAGTGTTGCGGATGTCAGGTGGGAGGGAGTTCCAGAGGCGGGGTGCAGAGCGGCTGAAGGCTCTAGACCCCATGGTGGTTAAACGGAAGGGGGGTGCAGTGAGGCTGAGGGAAGCAGAAGATCTGAGTGTGCGGATGGGTGTGTTGATGTGCAGGAGGTCGGAGAGGTACAGAAGAGTGAGGTTATGGATGGCCTTAAAGGCGAGGAGCAGAATCTTAAAAACGATACGGGATTTGACGGGGAGCCAGTGAAGTTGCTGAAGAACAGGAGTGATGTGGTTAATGGAGGGGGTTCTGGTGATGATGCGGGCGGCAGAGTTCTGAACCAGTTGAAGTCTGTGGATGGATTTGAGAGGGAGACCAAAGAGAAGGGAGTTGCAGTAGTCGATGCGGGAAGTGACCAGGGTGTGAACAACAATGGCGGTGGTCTTAGGGTTAAGGGACGGGCGGAGGCGGTTGATGTTGCGTAGATGGAAATAGGCAGACCGAGTGATATTACTGATGTGAGATTTGAATGAAAGTGCGCCGTCGAGGATGACACCCAGACTCTTAACCTGAGGGGAGGGGGAGACTGAAGAGTTGTCTATAGTAATGGAGAAACTGTCAGGTTTGGTTAGGGTGGATTTTGTGCCAATGAGGAGAACCTCGGTTTTACTGTCGTTAAGTTTGAGAAAGTTAGAGGAAAACCAGGATTTGATGTCTTGTAAGCAGTCAGACAGGGAGGATGGAGGGAGGATGGTGGTTGGTTTGGAGGACAAGTAGAGCTGGGTGTCATCCGCGTAGCAATGAAAGTGGATGTTGTGTTTACGGAAGATATTGCCAAGAGGAAGTAAATAGATGATAAAAAGAAGAGGCCCCAGGACAGAGCCCTGGGGAACACCGGTCGTGACTGGAAGTGGCTGTGATTTGAAGGTTTTGAGTTGGATGAACTGAGTGCGGCCGGAGAGATATGATTTAAACCAGAGGAGGGGTGTGTCAGTGATCCCGATGGAGGTCAGTCTGTCAATGAGGATGCTGTGGGAAATGGTGTCAAAAGCTGCACTAAGATCAAGGAGGATGAGGATAGTTAATAGTCCGGAGTCAGCTGCCATGAGGAGGTCAAAATTATTAATAAATTATACATTTCAAACACAGTATTTTTCCACATATTTAAGTTATATTTATTTGGATTTATGCATTCATGTTGAGAATGTTCCATTGAAAGATGTTATTATTAAAAAGGCATTTACACCATAAAAGATGACTATTGAGATCTATTGTCAGGAATGTTAGTCTTATATGTAAAAAAAAATCAAAAAAAATAGTTAGATATACTGGATATTATTTGATCTATTCCACCACTAGCTTAATCCCAAATAATGTAGAGGTGTGTTGTAGGTGCCTTAAATAACACCTTATTTTATAGTGAGATGTATTTTTATGTTCATATAATAGTGATTTCAATGCCACCCCAAAATGATCACTGGTTCCATCCTGGCCACCCCACTGAAAATGTCCTGGCTCTGCCACTGGTTGTCCGGTGCCTTGCTCAAGGGCACCACGGCAGGGCCCAGGAGGTGAACTGGGACTCTCCAAGTAGCAGTCCACACTCCATATTTAGGTCTGTTTCGGGACTTGAACTGGCGACCCTACGGCTCACAGTGCAAGCCCCTGCTGACTGTGCCACTGCCGGACAAAAGAGCACATCACATGATGAGGAATTGTCTTTTATTGGCTTACTGTTTGGCATCTAGTGAATGAGACTTTTGGCTTACATTTTTCTGTGTATAAATACATATATATATCAGCACTATGCATTCACTTGAGAAAGAAACATTTACTTCCACTACTACGACCACTAGAAATGTACACCTCATATAATACATCCTCCTCTCAAGTTCAGACAGAGCATGTACGTCGAGAAGTCTTATCAGATGAATGGTTGTTCAGGAGAGTGTATAAATATTGGACAAACTGTGAAGGTCAGAACAAACGTGCACACAGAACAACAGAGGTGAGTTGCAATACTTTTGGTCTGGTAAATGGGTTATAAAAGTAGTAAAAAGGATCCGAACATAATCAATTAATAACAAATAATGGCACAAGGATTTTATACTAGTTAACATGAATGAGGGGTTAACTTAATTGTTCTCTCTTTATCTGAACACAGCCATGGCGATGTTTGGAAAGGTTTTGGAGCCAGTGGGCTACATGCAAACTGTGAGGTGAGTTTTCTAAATATTTCATGTTAATATACTAACAATAATGCATTCAAATCTGCTTATCACACTGTATAATAATAGTTATCAGAACTCAAATATGATTTTTAATTATTTAAACAATAATAAGAACACTTTATAAAGCATTTTGTAACTTAAAAGATCAAGTATTATAATACTCAATAAGACTAAATAATACTCAATAACTCACTTCTTTGCAAAGTATTATGTTGCTTTAAAATGTGAGCATTAATAATTCATTGTAAAAATATTTACGTGTGCTTATAACTCAATTTAACACATTCTAAGTATGTTTATAAATATGACTTCTATTGCATATCCATAACAGTTTCTGATTTCATTCTCACATTTTCCAGTTTCAAAAGGCTTTTATTCTCACGTGTGCATAGCTACAGTGTAGTTATGACAATCTTAGGTCACAGGCTCCTCCAACAGTGCAACACAATTAAACAGATAAAATAGTACAGTTAAATAAAATAAAAATATAATAGAAACAGTGCAGAAAAGTCTATATACAGTAATTGGAATATTGATATATATGATATGATATGTTCCTGATGTTGTCAAGGCAAGGCACATTTATTTATATAGCCCCTTTCAACACAGTGCTTTACAAAATGGCATTTAAAAACAGTCATTAAAAAGCAAAGATAATAAAATAAACATTAAAAAAAAAAAACATGAATAAAAGTTACAGTGCAGTTTAAGATATGAATAGTTCAATTAAAAACAGCGGCAAAGAGGTCTTCAGCCTGGATTTAAAAGTAGTCAGAGTTGCAGCGGACCTGCAGGTTTGTGAGAGTTTGTTCCAGATATTTGGAGCATAATAACTGAACGCTGCTTCTCCATGTTTAGTTCTGACTCTGGGGACAGAAAGCAGACCAGTCCCAGAAGACCTGAGAGATCTGGATGGTTCATAATTTAGCAGTAGATCAGAAATGTATGTTGGGCCTAAAACATTCAATGCTTTATAAAAAAATGTCCAGGGTGCTGGTGCAAGGTATCTGCTCCTACCTGGGCGGCAGCGGCTCAGCAGAGGAGAGCGAGGCGGCCAAGAAGAACCTGGACTCCATGGACCAGGAGCTGGGAGCAGGAGGAGCCGGCCTGCTGGACGACCAGGAGGTGCACCGGCTGGAGGACGACCTGGCCGTGGTGTACTACCAGCTGGGCATCGCGGTGAGGAAACACTGCCTGGGTCTCAAACATGAAGGTTCACTTAGTACAGGCATTTTTAGTATACTCTTATTTTGAATAGTATAGTCTAATAAGGGAAGATTAGCATGTGGGCTTCTTATTGTTTTACTGTGAGGAACCTTTTCAACTTTTATTTTGAATGGTAGAAGATTGGAGTGTCTGCCTCTCAGTGTTTTATTGTGAAGGGTAAACTAATATTAGTTTGGTGAGTTAGGGAAGTTTGAAATGTACAAGTGTTTTATTGTCAGGGCAACTTTTATTTTTGAAAGGGTAGTCTTATATGATTGTAGTAAGTCAATAAGGGAGTGTATGTTTCTCAGTGTTTTATTGTGAAGGAAAGTTGTTTTAACTTTTATTTTGATGGGTACATTGATACAGGTGGTGTAATATAGTCGTTGCTATGGAAGATTGGAGAGTGTCTGCCTTGCAATGTTCTATTGTGATGGGAACTTGTGAAAGGTAAACTAATATTAGTTAGGTGAGTTAGGGAAGTTTGAAATGTTGAAAGAGTTGTATTGTTAGGGGAACTTTTATTTTGAAAGGGTACTTTTATATAATTGTAGTAAGCCAATAAAGGAGTGTCTCACAGTGTTTTAATGTGAAGGGATCTTTTTTTACTTGGGTAATTTAATATTGTCACAGCAAGAAAAACAGTGTGTCTGCGTTTTGTTGATGTTGGGAAAATAGTGTTTATTGTGAAAGAAACTTTTTTAGGGTATGTCTTATAAAGCTGTGGGGGCGGTTGGTATGTCTGACTCCCTGTTTCGTATCTGAAAGAGAATTTACTCTAACTGGTTATGCTGCAAACACACCGAAGGGCATGCTGACCTTGAACAGTAATGCCCGTTTAACTGAACTGATGTGACTGTGACTGAACTCATGATGCTAAGCGTATTATGTATGCAGATGTCTGTCACCAGATGTATGATTGAAGCATCTGTTAACTTCCACTAGACAGTATTAATGCGCTTATGATTTTAATATACTGTTTAATTATTTTAAAATGTAACAAATGATACAAATCTCTTGAATGCATTTTGCTTAGAAAAATAAAACACCTTTCTGGATCAGTCAGTGTTTAGTGGTAATGTATTTGTGTAAAGCCTCATTTTTCAGTTACAGGACACAAGATTAGATTTAGGGTGAAATGACATAACTCAGACTAGGAAAAGGAAAATAATTACAACGGTAAGTCAAACCTATTAGCGACAAGAGAAAAATTATATTTGAGCCGTGCATTTATGGTGACGGGTAAGCCTAACATGTGAAATGTATGTCTGAACAGGGGAGCAAAAAGGCATAAAGCAATCTATAAGAGACACACAATTACTGCAAAGAGTCCAAAAATGACTATTCAAGAGATACTGTACAAAACGACCATAAAGAAACAAAACGTAAAATAGATGCCACTAAAAGAGATACAAAAACACCACAAAGTTACACAAAACTATGTCTAAAAGTGACAACACATCACAAAACAACTGCTTAGAGACACAAGGGTCCTCAAGTTGACTACAAAGAAACACACAACTAAAAGACTTCTAATATTATGTCCATCCTTGAAGGCTGTTTGCAAATTGCAGGCATTTCATTTTTATGTTATTTTTGCTAACCAGGACTAAAGAGGGCTCACACTCTCCTTTGAATCTGTCCCCCCCGCCTCTTGTTTCAGGTGAGGGCCCAGGCACAGTTCACTAAGAAGGAGACGGAGGTTTTCCTGCAGTACGTGCAGGACTACCGGCTGGAGAGGCAGCTGATGGCGCTCTACAACCGTCTGATGGGGGTCTCAGCGCTGACCGACCAGCCCACCCTGCTGGAGGAGCTCATCCTGAACCGCAAGCCCAAACGCTGGGAGCTCAGGGAGTTCTGCGTGAAGGTCGGTGGAGGTGCACACAGTGTGTGTGTGTGGGTGTGTGTGTTGTTCACCTCATTTCCCTGCAGGGGGTCATTAAATGTTCATTCCCTCCCATTATACAAGTCATTGCACAAGGGCACGTACTCCTGCTTAACTAAAGCCGCAAGAAGCCTGAGGTCACACACACACACACACACACACACACACACACACACACACACACACACACACACACACACACACACACACACACACACACACACACACACACACACACACACACACACACACACACACACACACACACACACACACACACACACACACACACACGTACACACACGTACACACACACAGCTTTTGAAGCATAAGCTCACCTGTCATCAATACATTCTTAATTACATGCAATCCAAGAATCAAGCCATTTCCAACCACATGTTGTAAAACATAATCACAGAGGACAGGTTTCAAAAGGAAAATAAAAAGCATGGAGAAACACAGCTGTGCAGGATTACATATTCAATTTCCTGACCGAATACAATGAATTTGACCAAAAAAAACATGGAGGTCCTGTGGGACCTCCAAGCATGCTGCATCTATCTTCTTGGTATGAAAATACATATTTAATTCAGCAGAGCAGTGACCTTCTGTTGTCTTTCACCCCAGCTGAGTTGGCAAATTCCCTTTTGCCTTCACTGCTGGTACCGAAAGGAGATGGATTTGTTCAGCTGCTCGGGCTTTAAACCATTTAAAAGCAGGAATCTTAAAGCCTGACAATTGTATTCTGGTTGAAGCAACATTAGTATAATTCCACTCCTTTAAGTGCACACATATCCCTTTTTGCATGGGATCAAATAGAGCTTTATGTTCTACTTTATTTCTTATGACCCCCCCTAAACCAGACCAAATGCCGTGGTGTCCATCTGTCCAATCGCCCTTGGGCAGGACTCACATAATGATCATCCAACATGCAAATAAATGAACCTTAATAAACACTGCAGCAGTCACAGGCTCACTCGTTATGTAAAAACCTTTGACCTATGTTTGACCGGCATTTATTAAACAAAGTGAAGTGTTAAGTATCTGCAAAGTCGTTCAACACAGATGCTGCTGTCACAGCTGGAGAGACAGACAGTTTGTATCCTAGAAACTCAAGTCCACTTCTTCAGGGGCTTTAGTGTGTTTAGGCTGCCAGCCTCAGTGGATTAGCTTTAATGCTGAAGCAATTCCGTCTTAAATGAGTGCTGAACGAGTGATTTGTGTAGTGCTCCTTGCAGGGATTTGTTTCCATAAATGCACTGAGTGAGTACGAGAAAAGCTCAGTGCTTTCATGAAGGGGAAATCATTTCACAGTTTGTCATTTACTGTGCTCATAGTCAAACAAATAAAACAATAAGATACAAGCACTCTAACTTTATTAAAGAGGCCCTGTTATGCTCTTTGGGGTTTTGCCTTTCCTGTAGTGTGTTATAGGCAGTGTTGGGACAAACGCGCTACAAAGTAACGCGTTACTGCAACGACGTTATTTTTTTTAGTAACTGGTACTCTAACGCTTTACTTTTTAAATTCAGTAACTCAGTTACCGTTACTACATGGTGCGTTACTCCGTCAGTTTTTTTATATAGTCAACAGCCAGGCGAACAGAGATGAGAACTGTACTTGAGTAAATGTACTTAGATACTTCCTGTGTCACATGCGGAGACGCGCTGTGGGCGTGTTTGTGTTGTTTACTAACAAGACTATCATGGCGGTGGCGGAGCTCAAGTCTAGTTTCTCCACCTGGAGATATTCTCACTATTTCACTTTTGTCGAGCACAAAGAAAAGAACGTTTTAGTTAAATGTAAGTTGTGTCTTGGCGGGTCAAATATCCTATCTACTGCCCAAACCAGTCATTCAAATCTCTTAAAACATCTGCAAAAACAACATGCTGGGACGAAGCTAGTAGCTAAGACCACAGAGACTCAGCCGACGCCACTCCACCTCCACCTAAGCAACAGCGGCTGGATTTTAACCAAGGGACTGCTAGCCAGGGAAAAGTCGATAAAGCCATTGCACGGTATGTTGTAGAACACATGCAGGCTATTGCTACAGTGGAGTCACCCGCTTTCAGGGAGCTAGTTAGCATGATAGCATGTCCGGGCGGCACACGGCATATGGGACGGAAAGCTTTTTCCAACTACCTGGAGAAAGAATATACAAAAATGGAAAGCCAGCTAATATCGATGCAATCCAGATTGCATATAATGCATGTCAAGTTGATCAACAGATTGTATTATTCTCCAATGCAATAACAGTACTGAAATGAAGGCTATAAGGGCATTAATGGGAGCCCTTTTTCTAAGTAACTAAAACGTTACTTTTCACAGTAACGCATTACTTTTTTGTGTAGGTAGTCAGTAAAGTAACTAAGTTACTTTTGAAATGAAGTAACTATTAATGGTAACTAGTTACTGGTTTTCAGTAACTAGCACAACACTGGTTATAGGTTTAGTGCATGTTAATGGTCTGCAAAGGCTTTAATCCCAAAGTTCTCTCCAGAGGGAGTTTCTCTCCCACACACTCCCCCCCCCTGCTGAAACACCTCCATTGGACTCCTTTGTTTACTTCTGAAACATGGTTACATTATGTAACATGTGTAACACTCGCATTCCTATTGGCCTGGGCAGCGGTTCCCAACCTGTGGGCCGCGACCCGAACGCATTGCAAGTGGGCTGCCAAACCATTTGCAAAACCTTATGATTTGTGTGGAAACATTAAGATTTTTATTTTCCTTTCTCCTCCTTAGCAACGGTCATTACAGTCCTTGACAGCGGTCTGTTCTACTGGATTAAAAACGTGTCACGTGTTCTGAATCGACCAATCAGAACTTGATTTAGCCTCCGTAATGTTTATGGTTAAATGTGGGCCGCGAACATTTTTTTGATTCTTAAACGGGCCCTGAGGTTGGGAACCGCTAGGCTCGGGCTCCAACTCATTGTACGTGATAAGGGGAAAGGGGCGGGACATTTCTAAGCCGTTGACCAATCACAACAGAGCTGGCTGGCTAACCAAAAAGGTGGGCATTTCCCCTTCATAGGCAGTATAAATGACCCCTATGCTTTGCTAAAATAAATTCTAATCAAAGTCACCCTGTAGCTCTTGAGTCCACACTGGAGTAGATGACTTTGTTAAGCAAAGAAACGGCAGCCATGTTTCTCTAACCTTGGTAGAATGTATCATGTATAAACACTTTGCTGGTGATAAGCTTCGGTGTCATGCAGGGACAAGAACACAGGCAATGTCTTATCTTTGTAGACCTCACAAAATCTGCTTACTTTATGATCCAAAATACTAAGTTATCTGCAGTGACAGGCCCTGGATAACCTGGCATGGCTCTTTCTACAAAGAGTTAGTGACATCTGCATGGGCTATTTTTGGGGTTGGGGTGGTCTCACAGGGCCAGGTGTTCACATCAGTTTAAGATAATGAGCCAGAAGAGCCGCAACCAGCCTCTTCTGTAGTAAGGCTAATGATCTGGAAACACTTTTAAGTTCAGTGAAGTCGACAGAAATCCCATGTGGCTTGGTGTGCTGCTGAAGACAAAACGCTGCAATAAACAACAACAACATTAAAGCTGTGCCAGGCGTGAATTTGATCATAACCAACCCCATTAAGACTAACTATATGATGCAAATGATTAATTAGTCAAAATGATGTGCTGGTGTTGAGCCGAGTCATTTCTCCGCTGTCAGAAAAACAACCCTGGAAAAACTCAAACAAGCTGGGTCAGTTAAAATAAACAGAAATAATGTTTTTTCAGGCATTTGAAATGAGCAAACAAGACTTATAGTTCCTGGCAATCCTTAGTTATAGGATTAATGTATTACTGAGTATTTAGAGCATTTGTTTAAAATCACTTCTGTGGTCAAACAGAAGAAGCTCCATCTTTAATTGACTCAACATTGAACAGCATCCATGTCACAAAACAACCCATCTGGTGCTCCCTGCAGGGTTGAACACACTCTTAGCTAGTTTTGCCCACTATTGGAAAGCTCATACTTTCCCTCCCTTTCCTCTGAACAGATAAACTTTGTGCTGGGCACCGGGCTGCTGTGCCTCTTCACCCAGGCGTCTCTGACAGGCCGGGACCAGGCTCTGCTGATGAAGACCTGGTCCGACCGCATGGGGGCGCTCTACAGGAAGATGAAGAACTCAGGAAGCCGCTGCTTAGGCTACTTCCTGGAGCAGGCGGAGGTGGACATCCGGCACCAGCTCCAGGAGGCCGTGCAGAGCCGAGCCCCCCCCGAGGAGGCGGCGGGGAGCATCCTGAAGACCCTGGAGAAGAACTACGAATGGCTGCGCTGGGCGGTGATGCTGCACCCTGCAGTGGGACCCATGGAGGAGGAGAAGGAGGAGGGGGAAGAGGAGGTAACTCAGCAAGAAGAGAAGGAAGAGAAGGAAGAAAAGGAGGAAGTTGTGCAGCAGTCAAACAACTTCATTTCCGTGGCGTCTGACCCTCCCGTTCCCCATGTGGTGGTGTGCTTCCGGGACACGCCCACTTCGCTGGATAAGAGCAGGATCCACCAGCTCATCGTGGATCTGGAGTGGAAGATCCCCAACCCGCCGCCCGAGGTGTACGCCGCCATCGAGGAGGACCCGGGCAGGGCGCGGTGCTACCTGGCCGCCCGCATGCTGAAGAAGCTGCAGGACGGGCTGGGGGAGGGCGTGTCCGTTCACGTGGTGCCCGGCAGGATGGAGATGAAGTGCAACTTCCCCCCCGCCTCCTACTACCTCTACGAGTACAACCACCGGCTGGCCTCGGGCACCGTGTGCGTGTTTGGATGAAAGAGTACGAGAAACAAAGGGAAGGGGAAACGACCTGCTGTTCTCTCACAGATGTTTCATAATCATATTACAGAATCGGCTTTATTTGTGTTGCTCTCACAGTGGCATTAACATGTCTTGTGTAATGTTACTTCCAAATAAATGTCATTTACAGTAAGAGACACACACACATGAGATATAAGAGGTTTCTTTTTATATTTCGTTAAAGCAAAATTCTAGTTTGCTACAACTTGGGTCCAATCGAAGGCCTCCTTAAGCACTTTGTTTCAGAATGGAATAACACATATTGGATGGATTGCATTAAGATTTGTACAAACATTTATGGTCCAGACAATAATTCCCTATCGATTTCAGTGAGCACATCCTCAGAGAACAGCTAGCATTCAAAGTTATTGCTGAAATATGGAAACTTCTCCAAACAGGGTAGAAACACAAGAAGTCCAACAATCAGACAGGTGGGAATGTTTCATGTCAGCACTTTCAATACAAAATCTTATCCCAAAAATGATACATTTATGCTTAGAACTCTAACATCCTGGAATCATGTTCTTACTGGGTCACTGATAGGACACTTTTCTACCATGATCAATACCAGAAATTCATCACAATCTACTTGCAGTGTTTTTTATTGAAATCTGGAATAACATCCTGTCTCGCCCCATCATATACATCCCTAGAAGTGATGACCGCACGTTTTGATAGATTTTATGGCTATTTGAAGATACAACTAAAGGTGAGTGCACCTAAATGCTGGTGATATGGAGGAAACTATGCTATACACTGCGACTAATGTTTGAACAGTTGGTTAATACTTTTACAGTTTTCCTTTGGTTAAATAAGTTTAGCTTACATCAAGGATTCGTCGTTTGACTGCTCGTGTGTTTCTTGCCCAATCTTTCGTTTGTTTTGATGGAAATGATGGCCCGAACGTCATAAATAAAGCCCAGGTTGTAAAAAAACACAATTTCTCTTTAAGGTTTACCAAATCTTTCTGGTTAAGTCACTAAGGTATGCATTGACTTCCCAAACATCAACGCTAAAATGCAACAAGGAAGCAAAAATAAATATTTTGACCCGTTTTTACGGTTGAGGTCTTTAGTTTATTGCTTATAACTGATAGATCGGAAGAGTTACCAGTTAGAATAAAATGCTCTAAAACTATCCATCTCATCAGCAAATAAATGTCCAACTCATGTCCACACGAGGAATCAGCCTCAGTCATATCGTCCATTTACAATCGCACAAAATGTCCCGGAAATGTCTGCATCTCCTCTCATTTTCAGTAAGAGAAAGATGCCTGAGTACAGCTTCTTGCTCTCACACAGGCTCACCCTCTGAGTTGAGCTGAACCAGTTGCTCTATATCCTTGCTGATGTCCGGGAAGCACAGCAGCACCTCCTTGAAGTCGTCACAGGACAGAGAGAAGCACTGGCAGTCGGTCAGAGCCTTCACCGTGGCCCGATGCTTTCCTTTAGTCAGCACGCACGTCTCTGTTGGAAACACGAACGCTTGGTTAATGAGCGAGTAAACACTAATGACGGGATGAGGTCTGACAATTAATCCTAAATTAAATAACCGGACTTAGCCGAGTTGTTTTGGGAAGCCTGCTTAGCTTTAACCGCTGCAGAGGGTTTCTGCCAAAATCAGATTAGGACCTGCTCCCACTTAAAGCTGGAGAATTAAGTAAATCCCCCAAATTGAAAGGGATGGATTTAACCATTTTGGTTTGAAAATACTCCTTGCTCACCTGGGCAAATAAACTTGCAAATGTGTTCATTATTTTTTGTGTAAAAAAAGGTAACCGATGAAAATGGATTGAAAAATGACCCTTATTTGGCCGTAGAAAAAAAATCAGAAAATAAATGTCATGTGAACTAATTAACATATTACATTTCCATATGGCCGTGGCGTAAGCTTTATTTCTTCCCGATACACACACACACACACACACACACACACACCACACACACACACCACACACACACACACACACACACACACACACACACACACACACACACACACACACACACAACACACACACACACACACACACACCACACACACACACACACACACACACACACACACACACACACACCACACACACACACACACACACACACACACACAACACACACACACACCACACACACACACACACACACACCACACACACACACACACACACACAACACACACACACACACACACCACACACACACACACACACACACACACACACACACACACACACACACACACTACCTCTGTTATCTACACATGCAGATAGTTCTGGTTTTGTTCATCCAGGTTTTGAATGATCAGCCTCAGCACGTAAGAAAAGTGACAGCAGCGTCATCTTTCCTGGAAACATCATGCATGTTACTGTAGATAATCCACAGAACAAGCTGTCAGCTGTTTTCACACAAACTCTTTCTGAAGGCGAAAGCATTTCCAGTGGAAACTGCTCAGCTCTGAGGATTATCTAGAATAAGAGTGACATATTTTTAAATGGAGTTTGGCATAATTTCCTTAAGAGCGCCGCACACAATGCTCTCCAATCCATTACCACTGCAATATAAAACCTTTGTCGACAACTCTTTGACAAGATTCGACAAAAAGGATTTAGATCAGGCATTACTGATAATATTTGAGCTTTGAATGGAGGCAAAAATATTCCTAACAGAAATCTGACAGCAAGTTTTGTAGACTGTAAAGACGCTATTTCTGGAAAGAGAGGTTGCTGAATATTACTTTTGAATACAAAATGCTTTAAAGGTCCCATGTCTTCACCATTTCTACAGTGGCCGTCGGCGAGACAGCGAGACACAGCGAAACCCAGCCCGAAACACACACACACCCGCAGCCTGGCTGGGAGTTTGTGTGTGTGCCCAGGCTGAGTTCCGCGGTGTCTCGCCGACCCCACACCAGTGAGCCAGCTCACAGTGTCCCGCTCCTCGCAGCAGCGAGCCTCGCAACGTCCCGCCGAGTGTGTGAGTGTGAGGAAGTCCGCAGATTGGTCCAAACGTAACTATACCCAAATACGTCGCTGTACCCAGGAAGAAAAAGAGAAATCTCCAACGAGGCGTTCTGGGGCAGCAGGGTGTACTTTGAGGGTTTGTGACTCTGCAGACCGTTTACATGCATATAAAGCTACATAACACACAAGGGGACGGGTAATAACCAGAAAAGCATGACATGGGACCTTTAAGGATCACACATGACATTACATTCACCTCCAGGGTATTTGGGGAAGGCAGAAAAAGAGAGATATCTGGAGACGAGACAAAAAACTGCTTCTAAATGCTTATGAATTTCTGAGGATTGGTCCTTTCAATGTAAATTGCCACAGCTCAATACTTTACTGATCTCTAAACACATAATGGTAAAAAGAGACTATAAATAGAGCTGAGATAGTATTGAAAGCGTCAATGAGTCAACATTTTCATGTTTCCTCAAATTCATACTTTAACCTCCAGTATATGAGGACAGTATTGCTGCTTAACAAAACCGTTTGAAATGACACAATCTAAGATGAAAACAAACTGGCGTGTAGCACTTTTTATAATTTCCATGTATTCATTATGTAATATGTAACATCTTTGTTGTGTACTAATTGTACTTTGGCTTGAGGTGGTACAGATGAACCAGATTCTGGGTGCATTTGGGTTGTTGGTATTTTCTAGAGCAATAAACATCTATCCAGCCTTTTTGGGTTTAAAACGTTCGAGAAAGGGTTTTCAGAATAGAATAGAATATATATCTTTATTGTCATCATACAAAGTACAACGACATTTCTTTGGCAACTCTCACGGCAGTCAAAAATAGACACAAATAAATAAGAGTGGTAAAAGTGAGGTAGTAGCGATGACAGTGCAACCAGATACAATTAGATGTGAATGTGCATATTTACACTTACAGTCTACAAACGTTAAATGTACAACACTGTATAAATGTAGTGTATTTCTAACTGAGTGTTCATAAAGGGTTATAGTAACCAAAGGATGCAAGTAAGATAGCCACAAATATTTCTAAATAGTATTGGTTACAGTTTTTCAACACGATCTGGAATAAAATGTTCTCTAAAATTAACCATTTGCAAAACTCCCTTATGTTATTTCCTGTCCTACTTCAAATACCTTCACTATTGCTGTCTGGGTAAAATCACTTCTGAAATGCCTGATGATATTCCAGATATTTAAATCAGAGTGAATGCAACTCACCTCCAAAGAAGTCTCCGTCACACAGCTCCCGGTCGTAGGAGTCGGTCTCCATGAGGACTTGTCCGTGGTCGATGAAGAACATGCGATCCCCGGGGACGTCCTCTCGGACGATGGAGTCTCCCTCCAGGAAAACCTCGTACTCCAGTTTCAGCAGCACCGAGTTGATGAAGTTCTCTTCTCTGTTCTGAAACATCGGCACCTTTCTTAGCAGCCGGCTGCACATCACCATCATGATTTGCTGAAATAAATCACAATCAGAATTGAGTTAATTGTGTTAGGGAATAATCTCCTTAGGTATTCAACCTTCGACCCAGTTCATCGTTTTCTCTCTTTACTGTCTCTTTTCCCGTGGCATAGTTACGGCCTTGGGTATTGCTGCCATCTCTCTTAAGGAGGAGCAGCTTGGGCGCATTGTTGTTGCCAGTCTGTGACAGAGCACAAGCCGCCATGAGGTAGTTTACTGTTCAGGGACGAAGGTTCCCTGGCACACGTTCTTTTCTATGGACGAGAGCTCTAGTTAGATTCAGGGTCCATAATTGTTTAGTCTCACTGATGAAGAACGTTGATTATTACACTCCGAACTAGTTAAAACCTCGAGCTGCAGAAAGAGTTCTTCAGAATTGGTTTGGCAACCGCTGTGTCAACTCGTGACACACCACCTGTCTTGTCAATTCTCCGGCCGTAACTCCAAATAAACCGTCAGTGTTAGCCACCAAAGCTCCAGCTCTCCTCGTGTCTCTCTGAGTCCTGACTCTCCATTGCTTCAGAAGTTTCCCCCACAAATTGCAAAGAAGGTTTTAACCAACAAGAAATGGGCTTTGGTGTACATGGTTGCATACTAGGGCTGCACAAGTAA